ACAATCTGTCTGCGAACCAGACCGACTACAATTTATTTCAGTGATGGCAACCGTTGTTTGGTCTGCAGTCTTACGATTACATCGTCTGCTGCGCTTTGAAATACAAAAAACTTCTCCAGTCATAATGTCAATATTTTACGAGGGAAAGGAATGCATTTGACTGATTGAAACCTTTATATAAATATCATTAATTTCACTATGTTTTTGGGGTATATATTGTTTTACTTAACTTATGAACTTGTTTGAATAATTATTTTCGGCCATTTTGATTTTTGTTTGTGTTTGTTTGGTCGTTTACAGTTTTTGATCCAGGAACCCATAAAATTGAAGGTATTTGTAGTTATTATAATTATTGTTGTTGGAACGACATTGGTAGTCTCTTTGTAAATTGACGAACGACATTTTGGTCGATTATTTGTGAATTACGAATAAACTTTGGTACCTAATATCGAGTTTCGTTCAGTTGTTAATTTGGGTTCGCGAATCGCAAATAGATCGACATACAGTAATTCAATAAACGAAGGAGATAAACATAGACGTAACAAACACGTGAAATAAAGATAGTCTAACGAAATAACACTAATCGCATTAAGTATAGAACTTTGACAAGAAACAATCAAGAACTGTAGCTGAATTAGACAGAACAAATATATTATCGTATAGCAAATGTTTTGACTATTCACAGCACAATAATCCACAATAATATGGTGTGAAAATACAAGAACACATTTTGGTGAGAGTTAATAATGTTTCGAGGTCCATTTTGAAGAGCACGTGAGTCATTTGGCGGCTTGGTAACTAGCCCCAACCAGACATTATTGGTTCGCCTGAAATGATAGAGAGAATGCGTGGTTATTTAATTTTCCACATTGTTCCCAACAACTACCAATATTGAAACAACTTACGTGACAGTTCTTCCTTGAGGTCACTTCCTAACACCTGAACTATAAAAGACACCATCACCGCCGCTTTTAATAGATAGTGAATGAGATACGATTTGTAGCTCATCATATACGAGGCTCTCTTGCACATCCTAGTGCGCTTGTAGGCCTTAAATAGATCTCTCTTGTCATCAAAACCAATCATCGACAAAATGTTTGAAAGTCAGCAACGATTTGCCAAGCCGTTCAACCAAGCCTACCAATTGCTATTTGGCTTTTCAGATTCCGAATCTGTTCGGTTCATTAAAATCCGTTTAACACCGCCCACTCAGTTTCTTTCATGTTTGTCAACACTGATAATACACATTGATTTATACAGACAGACAGACAATCAAGGTTTACGTGATTTCGTTTTCACGAAGGGATGCACAAAATATCGACAATTCGTTATCTCCGATTTCACTAACTCAAAACATCACACCTTTGATTTGGACATGGTTATTTGTGATAGCCACAATCTTAGTTATCTGCGTTCATATATGATGTATGATCGAATTGATTGCTACAAACACATGCAAATAAGAAATCGACCCTAGTGACACATACGTTCTGCCGAATTCACCTGTACATTCTAAATCAATGTACACTACAGGACATTTTGCGATGCGTGCTAGTTTTTGCGGATTATTATTCAACATACCCTCAATGTAAATCAGTCTTATGACATAAAATTGTCTCTGGGGTTGGCTACATCGGAAAACTATCGGTTATCGCTGACGTCGATCCTAACCATGAGCATCGACATTATGTTCAAGGTGGAAGTCAGTCTTCATTGGACGCTACTACCGATGAAATCAATCAATATATCTGATGAGGAATGCGACGAAGACTAATTAGTGTAGACTTGTGAATTCTTAATCGATCGACAATTTCAGATTTGAAAGTTTCTACGAAGAAACTATCAGCGGATCATTTGAATTTATAGCCAAATGTCAGAATGAACATTATGCCAGGGTTCGGAGTTGAGTTGATAAAACTTTGTTGTCTCTATCTTGCAACTCATATAATTAACACCCACACACGTAAGAATAATTATGTGTGTCTGGTTATTAAATCTTTCTATGAGTGACTCTGTATCATTAGCGAAGCTGTCTCGTTCGAAATGTTCTCTCTACTTGAACTAGTTCACTGGAAGAAATGTGAAATTTAGAAAGAATGTGACAATCTGTCTGCGAAGCAGACCGACTACAATTTATTTCAGTGATGGCAACCGTTGTTTGGTCCGCAGTCTTACGATTACATCGTCTGCTGCGCTTTGAAATACAAAAAACTTCTCCAGTCATAATGTCAATATTTTACGAGAGAAAGGAATGCATTTGACTGATTAAAACCGTTATATAAATATCATTAATTTCACTATGTTTTTGGGGTATATATTGCTTTACTTAACTTATCAACTTGTTTGAATAATTATTTTCGACCATTTTGATTTCTGTTTGTCTTTGTTTGGTTGTTTGCAGTTTTTGCTCCAGGAACCCATAAAATTGAAGGCATTTGTAATTATTATAATTATTGTTGTTGGAACGACATTGTTAGTCTCTTTGTAAATTGACGAACGACATTTTGGTCGATTATTTGTGAATTACGAATAAACTTTGGTACCTAATATCGAGTTTCGTTCAGTTGTTAATTTGGGTTCGCGAATCGCAAATAGATCGATATACAGTAATTCAATAAAGGAAGGAGATAAACATAGACGTAACAAACACGTGAAATAAAGATAGTCTAACGAAATAACACTAATCGCATTAAGTATAGAACTTTGACAAGAAACAATCAAGAACTGTAGCTGAATTAGACAGAACAAATATATTATCGTATAGCAAATGTTTTGACTATTCACAGCACAATAATCCACAATAATATGGTGTGAAAATACAAGAACACATTTTGGTGAGAGTTAATAATGTTTCGAGGTCCATTTTGAAGAGCACGTGGGTCATTTGGCGGCTTGGTAACTAGCCCCAACCAGACATTATTGGTTCGCCTGAAATGATAGAGAGAATGCGTGGTTATTTAATTTTCCACATTGTTCCCAACAACTACCAATATTGAAACAACTTACGTGACAGTTCTTCCTTGAGGTCACTTCCTAACACCTGAACTATAAAAGACACCATCACCGCCGCTTTCAATAGATAGTGAATGAGATACGATTTGTAGCTCATCATATACGAGGCTCTCTTGTACATCCTAGTGCGCTTGTAGGCCTTAAATAGATCTCTCTTGTCATCAAAACCAATCATCGACAAAATGTTTGAAAGTCAGCAACGATTTGCCAAGCCGTTCAACCAAGCCTACCAATTGCTATTTGGCTTTTCAGATTCCGAATCTGTTCGGTTCATTAAAATCCGTTTAACACCGCCCACTCAGTTTCTTTCATGTTTGTCAACACTGATAATACACATTGATTTATACAGACAGACAGACAATCAAGGTTTACGTGATTTCGTTTTCACGAAGGGATGCACAAAATATCGACAATTCGTTATCTCCGATTTCACTAACTCAAAACATCACACCTTTGATTTGGACATGGTTATTTGTGATAGCCACAATCTTAGTTATCTGCGTTCATATATGATGTATGATCGAATTGATTGCTACAAACACATGCAAATAAGAAATCGACCCTAGTGACACATACGTTCTGCCGAATTCACCTGTACATTCTAAATCAATGTACACTACAGGACATTTTGCGATGCGTGCTAGTTTTTGCGGATTATTATTCAACATACCCTCAATGTAAATCAGTCTTATGACATAAAATTGTCTCTGGGGTTGGCTACATCGGAAAACTATCGGTTATCGCTGACGTCGATCCTAACCATGAGCATCGACATTATGTTCAAGGTGGAAGTCAGTCTTCATTGGACGCTACTACCGATGAAATCAATCAATATATCTGATGAGGAATGCGACGAAGACTAATTAGTGTAGACTTGTGAATTCTTAATCGATCGACAATTTCAGATTTGAAAGTTTCTACGAAGAAACTATCAGCGGATCATTTGAATTTATAGCCAAATGTCAGAATGAACATTATGCCAGGGTTCGGAGTTGAGTTGATAAAACTTTGTTGTCTCTATCTTGCAACTCATATAATTAACACCCACACACGTAAGAATAATTATGTGTGTCTGGTTATTAAATCTTTCTATGAGTGACTCTGTATCATTAGCGAAGCTGTCTCGTTCGAAATGTTCTCTCTACTTGAACTAGTTCACTGGAAGAAATGTGAAATTTAGAAAGAATGTGACAATCTGTCTGCGAAGCAGACCGACTACAATTTATTTCAGTGATGGCAACCGTTGTTTGGTCCGCAGTCTTACGATTACATCGTCTGCTGCGCTTTGAAATACAAAAAACTTCTCCAGTCATAATGTCAATATTTTACGAGAGAAAGGAATGCATTTGACTGATTAAAACCGTTATATAAATATCATTAATTTCACTATGTTTTTGGGGTATATATTGCTTTACTTAACTTATCAACTTGTTTGAATAATTATTTTCGACCATTTTGATTTCTGTTTGTCTTTGTTTGGTTGTTTGCAGTTTTTGCTCCAGGAACCCATAAAATTGAAGGCATTTGTAATTATTATAATTATTGTTGTTGGAACGACATTGTTAGTCTCTTTGTAAATTGACGAACGACATTTTGGTCGATTATTTGTGAATTACGAATAAACTTTGGTACCTAATATCGAGTTTCGTTCAGTTGTTAATTTGGGTTCGCGAATCGCAAATAGATCGATATACAGTAATTCAATAAAGGAAGGAGATAAACATAGACGTAACAAACACGTGAAATAAAGATAGTCTAACGAAATAACACTAATCGCATTAAGTATAGAACTTTGACAAGAAACAATCAAGAACTGTAGCTGAATTAGACAGAACAAATATATTATCGTATAGCAAATGTTTTGACTATTCACAGCACAATAATCCACAATAATATGGTGTGAAAATACAAGAACACATTTTGGTGAGAGTTAATAATGTTTCGAGGTCCATTTTGAAGAGCACGTGGGTCATTTGGCGGCTTGGTAACTAGCCCCAACCAGACATTATTGGTTCGCCTGAAATGATAGAGAGAATGCGTGGTTATTTAATTTTCCACATTGTTCCCAACAACTACCAATATTGAAACAACTTACGTGACAGTTCTTCCTTGAGGTCACTTCCTAACACCTGAACTATAAAAGACACCATCACCGCCGCTTTCAATAGATAGTGAATGAGATACGATTTGTAGCTCATCATATACGAGGCTCTCTTGTACATCCTAGTGCGCTTGTAGGCCTTAAATAGATCTCTCTTGTCATCAAAACCAATCATCGACAAAATGTTTGAAAGTCAGCAACGATTTGCCAAGCCGTTCAACCAAGCCTACCAATTGCTATTTGGCTTTTCAGATTCCGAATCTGTTCGGTTCATTAAAATCCGTTTAACACCGCCCACTCAGTTTCTTTCATGTTTGTCAACACTGATAATACACATTGATTTATACAGACAGACAGACAATCAAGGTTTACGTGATTTCGTTTTCACGAAGGGATGCACAAAATATCGACAATTCGTTATCTCCGATTTCACTAACTCAAAACATCACACCTTTGATTTGGACATGGTTATTTGTGATAGCCACAATCTTAGTTATCTGCGTTCATATATGATGTATGATCGAATTGATTGCTACAAACACATGCAAATAAGAAATCGACCCTAGTGACACATACGTTCTGCCGAATTCACCTGTACATTCTAAATCAATGTACACTACAGGACATTTTGCGATGCGTGCTAGTTTTTGCGGATTATTATTCAAC